ATGAGAATACTTAGAGTAGGGCGAGAGAAGGTCTTTCCACAGATGGAAATGCGTAGATTGCCCAGCTTCGTGCAGATCTTGCGATCGGTACACGTATAGTTCACTCTTTTTCCCCGAATTACTTTGAAGTCACGGAGGTGGATGATGCTGTTCGTCCATAGTGTGGACTTCTGATCAGCCCCCAGCGAGGTCATGATCTCCGTGTCCGAAAACGTGGAGGTCAGTTCTCTCGCGGAAATCCACATGGGATAGAACTGATCACTGTTAACAGGCGTGGGCACGCCACGTAGCGCTGCCGCCTTTCGCTCATTGATCGTGCGGTCTTTGTCCTGGAACGCTCGTTCAGTTTCTGCAAAAGTTGCGTCCGTGGGGATGGTCACTTGTTGGCGTGATGAGTTTGCACGCCATTGCTTGCGCCACTCGATGTTAGCGGCTGAGGTCTTCATGATGCAGAGATGGATCAACTGGATTTTTTATGTTCTTGAGATGGATAATACAGGGTGCAGATGTTTTTCAATCAATGTAGTCTTTTGTGATTTTTTCTTGAGATGCTTGGTTCGACTGCGTAGTCGCGTAGTGTAGAATGTCAAACTCTCAAGCTGACCTAATATTCCCAGGGACTACTCACAATGAGACAGTATAGAAAGTAGTAGGCAGCGCCTGAAGAGCCAAAATCAGAGTGCAAAGCGAACCTCAATTCGCGGCAATTCCGATATGCACACTTCGGGAGAGCAATACCACTCACAAATGAGATCTATAAGTTCAATCCCACCAACAAGCGAGGTGGACGAGACTGATTGCAAACCACGTCGTGGAAAGCACTGGATCTCTAAACAAACTCACAGAGGTCAGCTGCGTGAGCTAAGGGACGGTCTGGGATAGGCGGTCGATTGGTACCAGCTGGCGGCAGAGAGTCGATAGCAAGCTTAGGCTTGTCTGTCGACTTGTGGGGTAGCTGGCAAATTGGAAAGTTGTCAGGTGGTTCACTTGCGGTGTTGACAGATTACTCTGATTTAGTGACTAACTAAATTAGAGTAATGCTAGAATACGAGCCATCTAAAACCAAAATCAGTATTTTCAAAAATGATCAATAGATACTCTTGAGTCACCCGACTTCAGTAACTCTAGATACAAGAATCAACATTAATCACTACTATATCATGAATGTATATCATACTATACGTTCTTATCATTATATATATTGAATAATGATCAGAAATGAAGACTAAGGTGCTCAGATCGCTCTACAATGATCGAAAAGAAAGACGCTGCTGTGACACATGGTGACTTAGTGATGACTCACTCCAAATCGACATCGACAGATACACTCGAACGATAATATTGTGACGGGAGGCACCATCACAATAGCTTCGATTCCAGACCCTGGCAAGTATGAGTGTGACATCATAATATATTATGATCCTCACTATTACTTAGCGCGCTACTGTGCAAGGCTTGGTAATACATCATATATACTTTTGCTGGAGAAGTGTTCTTGTAATTCGACGAAAGTCTTCCAGAGTGATTTTCAGCGCAACAATGGCCTGGTTTGACAGTTGGCGACGCGTAGTAGCTCTCATCAATGTGGATTGTGTTCTTACTCGCGGGTATCAACAAATTAACATCCAATGCTGTGTATATTAGAAAAACATACGTTGGTACTGAGTTTGAAGAACTCATCTTATTGATTGTGCTGCAGATAGTAGAGCCACAGAACACTATACTGCCCACTGTGTCTAAATCGAGGATTCTGGATGCCAATTTCGCGGTAGTAATAATCTTTCGGAATTACACGAGGCATTGGTGATCCTAGAGGGTCGACGTAGGCCTTATCTCTGTTTGAGACTGCCATCCGACGTTGGCCGCCGATCTCTCATGTTGATTATGCAATTGTTGTTGCTATTGTCTAAAATTAATTTACTGTACTTCAACTCTAAGAGATATGGCTGATCATCCATCGTTCTCGACAATTTAGTAATTCATTTATAGTGATTAATTTTTTAGGCACGTATAATATAATCAACATCAATGTAATCGATTAACTATGTCTTCTGCTTCCGATATTTCTGCTTTTAAACACTCCGTCGAACCAGCTCCTGCTGAGACGCCCTTTCGTGATAAGAAATGGACATATATTCAGGATTCGACCAGCAACATCGGTCAGAATGCCGGGCAAATTCACTTTAACCTTTCGACCATCTCTTCGTAAGCCGCTTTTGTAGCTGTTATCGACCTTCTAATCAAACTTTAAATTCTAAATGGCGAATACGGTTCGGTCACTCCGACAGGCTGTACTATCGACCATTGGTGCCTAGGGCCGGGTCATGGCATCTCATTAGTTGTTATCGTCTGAATTACTGTTCAATCAATCAGGTTCATGAGATTGTGAATACGACTTTTAGGTGCTGAACGATCGCTCGTTCCCGCTCTTAATGAGCAAAGTCCGAAACTTGCACTCGACGATATGGGAGGTAGCGCATATTTTCAAGCTTTATCAAAGCCTTAGGTCTATGTAGCTCCTGCTGGTGCTGTTGCTGCTCTTTCGCCATTCTACGTCGCGCATTATCTGACCTATACTAAGTTGCGAGATATCTGTGACTACTTAAAAAAATGTGAATTTAAGCAATGGTGTAACCACAACAGCTTTGGCCGGTGGTCTTGCGCTTCCTGCATCTGCAGTCACTCTTACAATTACAGCCGACGTCAATGGCACTCCAACTGCTGCAACTGGTTCATCGCAATCGTTTTTGCGTCTTCTTGTTCCAACATACTCGCCTAACCCCAGCGCCGATCATGCACTTGCTCAGAAGAAAACGTTCCGCTACTTCGAGCGAATGACGTATAAATGCACTGTTGCCCCAGGCGCTTCCTTGATTTACTGTCAGTAACGGCACTGCTGATACAAAGTGTCTGACATTACCAATGCTATGTGTCGGATACAACCGTAGCCACTCCTTGACGGTACTAGTCCATTTGCTGCATTGAAATATTTTTAGGTCACAGTTGGAAACGTTTCTATCTGAAACAATCCTTTCAGTTTCAGTTACGACTTATGCTTACAAGAGATGGCAAAGTCAGGCTGTGATGGTGGCCTTGATTATGTTACCTCGGCTGGTTTGCTATCTTAGCGTCAATGGAAATCACTATATCGATTTATTGCTGTTGATATTAGTTGTCGTCTTCAAGGTGACGATAGTGCCAGTAGGAGTATTATCGTGTCTAGTACTTCAACTGCAACTATGCTCTCACAACCTTTTATCACGTATGGCTCGAACAGTGGATACGGCGATATGTACTGTATCGCAAGGACCAGAAATTGTAACAACTTTGGTATTTCAACGCTAACAACGTAATTGTTATGCTGATTGAGTCACCATGAAATAAGTGGGAGAGAATGCAAAAGTGGTGACTCGATGACTGCATGTTGACCCTTATATCTAGAGTTACTGCAGCCGGCTATCATGGGGATGAATCTGGTGACTCGTTCGATTAATTCCTAGAGTATCTCTTGATCATTGATGTGAATAATGATTTTATTTTAAGCTGGTTCTGTTGGTTCGTATTCTAACATTCATTTAGTCACCAAGTTCCAGAGGGACACCGCCACACGATTAATATTTATATATAATCGTGTTGCGTACCCTGGCGGACGTACGAACGTGATGTATCCTTTATGTTGCTCAAACAGTGCATAAATTGGCAAGGAGAGTACCCCTAGACACTCAGAGAGTACTAAACAGCTATGATGAGTAAATAATGTATAATGTACTATGTATGGTACACTACTTACCCTGTCACACGTCCTCTTATAAGGGAACGGTCGGCAAAACAACGGATTTTTACGAATAGAAGACCTTCTACTATTACAAGTCCCCATCGAATTTTCGACAATGTCCTAGAAATCAAAGACCGCTTCGATAAAAAACCTCTATTAATAAAAGGCCGCTGTAAACACCTTAGCATTGGGCCGTTATTTTTAATTCGACCATGCGTCAAGCAATTGAGCTCAGAAAGAAGCAGGAGGCGATCAAGTGAATCGGCGAGCAAGGTGGTTGCGTGCCGAGTCGCGCGGTGTCTCACTTTCGCAAGAAAGGGTGGAGTGTTGATGCTGCCACATTTCGAAAGTGGTGGCGCAACAGAGACGAGGTTTTGAGTGCTTAACCATACCAAAAGCGGCCAAAGGGTGGTGGTCGCAGACCACTTCCAGGAACTCTCGAGGACCTACTGCTGGACGCTATTATCGACCACCGTCTTCGCAAAGAGAAGGTCACA